GGTTCAAAAAGGGCAGCAACCTCAGAAGCTCGTTTTGGTGAACAGCATTCAGAAACTTCGCATTTTCGAATATCCAAAGAATACTTGCACATTTTTGTATGCTTTTCAATCCAGATCCATAGAACTTGTTCAATAGTTTTAATATTTTCAACTTCTGGTTCTTCATATTCATCATTGGCTTCTTCGTTACTACGACCTGAATTTGTTTCAAAAACATCATCCAAAAGAGGCATCAGCTGCTCATCAACATATTTACAATAGACTGGCTTGCCAAAAATTTTATTACGTCACCATATATTATACAAAGCTTCTCTAGCATGCCGAAAATTTTGTAGTCCAAGAACTTCGTTAATTACTTTACCTTGAGAATCAAGGTAGTTTCCAAATGTATCAATACTAAAAAAAATTTCACCTAATTTTTAGATAAGCTTGCTATGGCACTTTTGATGGGATTAAATACAGATTGTTCTGGTATGTTAGCATGTATAATGAAATAATCAAGATCTAATTTTTTAAACAAATGACAATACTGATAGATATTTTTGATAAACCAGGAATTTTTGTCTGGACCTCTATCTGTGAGTAATATTCAAACTGGTTTGACAGTATTATTTATTTTGAAAACTTCTTCATATTCTTTCATTGATGAAAGATTAATCATATGTGTTAAAGAACTTGATCCGATATACTACTGTGGTCGTACATAAATTGTGAGTTGTTCTGTTCTCATTGTGTCATTTGAATCTGTTGGATTGATCATTAAATATACGCTTGAAACTAATTTTTGGGATGTTCCAATCAGAAAATTATGGTTTTCTAATTTTACAGGTTCAGCAATTATTTGAATTGTTTGAAACATATATTCTATAGCAAGTATACTAATATTAACTTTTGCCTTGTCATCTTGGGACACCAGAACTGATATATTAGAAAATGTACTTGCAAATGTCTTTGAAGTTTTTATTGAAGCTAAGCAATAATGAGTTTCAACATGTTCTCTTTTTTCACTTCGTGAAATATTAGCTATTCTAATCAATATAGGATAGTGGTGGGCTCTAGCTGTGATAGAACTTCTGTTCTTTAGCAACATATAATTGCGAAGCATGTTTATCGATAAGTATTCATTGTAATTATTTTCGAGCTCTTCTTGTGATCGAACTTTAATTACTTCTTTCCTTCTTTTGGCATCAGCTATGCCGAACTCAATAGAATTGTACATGTGTTTAAGAAGATCAGGATACTCAAAAAGAACTAAAAAGCAGCTAGCACGATCATACATGACTACTTCATTTTCTTCTCTTACTCATTTTTCTTTTTT